AAATGGGAGTTTTGAGTTCAGGATTTCTGACAAACAGTTCTGAAGACACTCAAAGGATCCATACTGGTATTTTGCCTACTTCTATAACCAGTACCTGCGAGTTTATTTTTCACTACTTTCTGTACATCTGTTTAAAATAAAAAGCCTTTGTTGGAAAGCCCTGTGTCAGAAGTCGGTACCTTAAAACCAGAGACCACCCCTTTTCAAGTCAAATCATTTCAGAAGTTTATACTCCTCAGAAAAGGTGAGAGAAATATGACCAGGGAAATCTGTTTTAATTGCTGCTTGATTAACCTCAGTTGCAAGGTATCCACACTCCAGCAATTTGTAGTTTTTCACTGATGGTTGATCAGTGTTGGTCATTTTCTATCTGAGTCATCTGATTCTGCTGTACAAGACATGTGAATTTACTAGAGAATTGTCTCACATTTTCTGTGCCAAAATAATATGTTGCAATGGTCATTTAAAACTAATTAGAGCTGATGGCAGAAACCTCCCAGTTTTGGAGAGGAGACAGCAGCTTTCTTATAACTGGGTAGTTCCATGAAAATATTATCTATCTCAGTGCCATGGTCTGTCATAAAGAAAAACAAGTTTTAAGAATTACTGGGAAACAGGAAAGCAGAATCCATCACTCTGCCATTGTGTGTGTCTATGCATTTCTGTCCTGAAAGTTGTTGTGTGGTCTCCTGATGTCCCAACCCCAGAAAGACAGATTGGAATAACTTCAGAAAGGATAACAAAAGATAATAAAAAGTATTCAAGCTGCAAGAACAGCTTCTCTACAAGCAGTACCTATGAGAGGTGACAGTACTCATCCAGGAAAAAAAAAAACAGAAGGGGATTTGTTGGGACCCTACAAAATCAGGAAAAGGATGTAGATTGAGCTTGAGGAATACAGACAAGACATAGAGGATATGAAATGAAATCTGCTGGAAGCAGGTTCAGACCAAATGAAGCACATTTGTCCTTACTTCAGTAGCATTTAATCTGCAGAGATCCTTGCCATAGATGTCATGGGTGCCAAAAAAAATCACACATCTTTACAAGGAGGCTGGAGAGATTCATAGAAAAGTAATCTGTCAAAGGCGATTAAATAAAGTATTGGTGCCTCTGGCTTGGCAGGACAAGCTGAAAGTTGCTGAAGACTCTGAGGACATTTAAGAAAATATTTCTCAATTTTTGCCATATTTTGTATAGTTTCCTAGCTGCATCCACTTAGCACCATCCAAGACAAAATAATGGGCTAGAATATAGCTTGCTGTGGCCCAGTTTACCTGATTTTTGTTCTTTATATTGAGCCTGAACCAATAGCTAAGTTGGGTACCATCCATCTGAGGAAACGCCAGTGAAAATATATACCCAGAGCTAACACTGAGCACGGAAATAGGCAGCCACAGCAGCAAGGCTGAACTAAGAGATCCTGCCACTGACATATCACTTTCACAGCGGTGCCCAGTCACTGCTGCACAGTGAACGTGGCAGCTCAGTGCAGCTTTGCCTGCAGGATGTATGCATAACTGCCTGGTGCATAGGACAGATGTACCTATATCACCCTACATTGCTCTTCAAGTAATAGCTCCTCGGTTCTTTTTTGGACCCCAAATTGCCATTCATACAAACTGCCAAAATGCTGGTTTACTCCCTGGTTCTTTTTTGCAGTGAAACGTCTGGCAAAGAACACACAACCTGCAGATCTAGAGACAGCTGAAAATAAGGACCCTATGATGGATGAGGCTGCAGGAGATTCGTTTCCCTGTGCCTTATAAAGTCCTGCAGTGTTCTTCAGCTGGCTGTGCACTTTCATGTCACATCTTGGGGCATGCAGCTTAACCACTTGTTTACATCCCTTATTTCAGCTCTCGTTGCCATGGAAATTTCACACTGGGAGGGGCAAAATAAATAAAAAAAGGAAAAAGCAAAATCATAACTTTGTCTTAGAGGGCACCACATGGAGCCCTCAGGAGACCCAGAGTCAAGTGCAAAGCAGCGGGGATGGTGCCCTGAAGAAAGCAAATGCCCTGAGCAGTCTGAGCACAAGCAGCTTGGTGTGAGGATGAGGCATTGTGTTCTGTAGATGAATTACTTAGCAGAATTAATGGAGGTGATGTTTCCACTGAGGACACAGATCACCCTTGAAATAAAATCTTAATTCACTCTAAAAGCTTTATATGTGAAATGAAGTGAGGAACAATTGCAGCTGGAAAGGAGTGAGAATATGTGAGAGAGCAACAGCCCTGCAGACACCAAGGTCAGTGCAGAAGGAGGGGCAGGAGGTGCTCCAGGTGCCAGAGCAGAGATTCCCCTGCAGCCTGTGGTGCAGACCATGGTGAGGCAGCTGTGCCCTGCAGCCCATGGAGGTCCATGGTGGAGTAGATACCCACCTGCAGCCCAGGGAGGACCCCACACTGGAGCAGGGGGATGCCTGAAGGAGGCTGTGACCCTGGGGGCAGCCTGCACTGGAACAGGCTCCTGGCAGGACCTGTGGCCCCATGGAGAGAGGAGCCCACACTGGAGCAGGTTTGTGGCAGAAGCTGTAATTCCACAGGGCACCCACACTGGAGCGGCCTGTTCCTGAAGGATGCATCCCATGGAAGAGACCCACGCTGGGGCAGTTCATGAAGAACTGCAGCCTGTGGGAAGGACTCACGTTGGGTAAGTCCATGGAGGAGTGTCTTCTGTGGGAGGGACCCCACGCTGGAGCAGGGGAAAAGTGTGAGGAGTCCTCCCCTAATGAAAAAGGTGAGGCAGAAATGTGTGATGAACTGACCACAACCCCCATTCCCCATGCCCCTGTGCCACTGGAACAGAGGAGGTAGAAAAATCGAGAGTAAACTCAAGTCTCAGAGGAAGAGATGGGTGGGGGAAGTTGTTTTGTTGTAATATTTGGCTTTATTTCTCATTAACCTACTCTGATTTGATTGGTAATAAATTAAACTCATTTCCCCAAGTTGAGTCTGTTTTGTCCATGACAGTAATTGGTAAATGATCTCTCCCTGTCCTTATCTTCACCCACAAGCCATTAATGACATTTTCTCTCCTCTGTCCAGCTGAAGAGGACAGTGGCAGAACAACTTGTTGGGCTTCTGGTGTGTAGCCTGTGTCAACCCACAACAACCATCCAGACGTTGTCTTCTGACCATCACTAACTTCAGCCTCTTCTTCCTGGCCACAGTGAATTCAGTCTGTCTGTGATGAACCATAAACCAGCTCCACACAGATTCTGCAGTCATATACTTGTAATAATTAAGAGTATATAAGCCCCATAAAATCAACACTGTCCCTCTATGGCATAACCAAGGTATGATCGCAACATCCAGAACTGTTAGCAGCAAGGAGCCTAACTATAGCTCCTTTTCCATTGGGTGATTGGAGTTTTTTGACAAAATGACTTCTCTGATAGCGTAAGAAATATCAGATAAGTTAAAGACAATGCTGACTGTAGGAGACTGCACAGCACTAAAAAACTGTGCTGCATAACATGAGAGCGAAAGGTCTAACAGAGCCATGACAGCCTATCAGGAAACCAGCAATACAAAGGGGCAGGTCACAGGCATCACCAAAGGCAGTCACCACCTTTACCACTCAGTGGCCAGGTCTCTTCTATACTTAGGTCAGACACAGGAGGAAAGGAGAGAGGAAAATGGTATCTGTGTCCAAGGCTGAATTCACATTTTCAGGGTTTGCCAGGGTGCTTTCACCAATAGGTCACCACAGCCTCCCCACGTGAAAGAACACTGAAATCAATGCCAGTAACTTCTGGCTGCGGGTTGACACAGTGTTTTGCTCTTTCTCTCATGTAATGTGAATAAGCAAAGAGAGGTGTTTTACTGAAGTGCCACTGCAGCGTGAAGCATAACAAGGCCCCTTTCTCTGTGTGTTACGATATGCTCTGACATACGGTACTGAATGTACTTGATTATTGCCTAAACTCTGTTAATTTCTAGGAACTGGTAAGGAAGCAGACTTCCAGCTAAGTTCTTTATCCTTATATACCCCCTGGAGCCAGCCACTTCAGTAACATATTTCAGCAATAGAGTAATGAAGGAGATCCCTATAGCCACTAGACTGCCCTCACTGTTTTCCTCATTTCTTACTTGTCTCTAATAAAATCCCTACCTGGGGAGAGAGAAAAGAAAGGGGAAAAAAAGGAAAAACCAAGAGATTAATGGCTTTCCCAGGCTGAATTCCACTTACTTTAGCTGCTCGCTATGGTCTGGATCAGACAATCCCAAGCCGTGATTTGCTGGTTACTTCATAGCTGTGCAGTGGAAGTATAGAAGCAGGCAAAGACCACCCTTAAGGTATGAATGTCATCTGGAAATACTTCTGTGGGACACCTTAAATAGGTCTCACAGGTCTCAGTGTAAAGCTGATGAGCTAATGCTGGGCATGGCTAGCATTCTGCCCTACATTCAGGTGTCTGTGACTGCCCCCTAATCAGCTCCAGATTGAGCTGATGCTCAAGACAGCTCTGGAGCATCTCTACAACACCATCTCTACAGGTGTGTTATCTCTTCAGCAGAGGACTCAGGGCCAAGCAGTGGCCTCCAGGATTAACTTGGTTTCTGATGCAGTCTCAGCTCCCTTTATCTTGTGTTTGGGCACAGAGTCTTGTGCCTTCTACATGGCATTCTTCATGGAAGGTATGCAAGAGAGATGCCATACTACAGACAGAAGAAATAATTTCTGATGAGCTAATAAAGCAATGGGTTATAATGTGCCTTAATGGGTAAACGTAAAGCTGTTTGCAACTCCCAGACTGGAAATGTAACAATGCCACTAAATCAGGAACATAAGGTCTCTGATTCTTGTATTGCTCTTGGCTCCCTCTTAGCTCTTTACAGCCTTCCCAAAAGACCTTAGACTTCAGACTGCCAAGAAGGAGAAAGCAGAAAAGTTATCACCGGTAGGAACTCAAAACAACACTGAAGTAAAGCATCTACTACCTCTGGTTTCTACCCCAGTGGTTGTCTCTGCATCTAAAAACAAGCAGTGGGAACTAGAAAACTAATAGAGTCTTTATTTTCTTGGCAGAATGTTTTTTGCTCCATGAGGCTTGGTCCTCATTTTCTGTCTTCCACTGCAGTGCTCTCCTGTTCCATGTCACTCTTCATGCTTCCAGCCTCCTGTCCTTTCCCTGCCACACAACAGAGACCCAAAGTAAATACATAAATTCACTGAATTAATAAAGGAAATGACTGGACCTAGCAAGACAGGCACCTGTCACGTTGGTGGTATTCGCTAGGCTCAGTCCGCTCCACATCAGGCACTGCTGCGGGCTCAGACCATGAGGTGTTTAAGGCAGGGATTATGTCTTCTGAAGTTTGCACAGAGGTGCTGACTGTGGCCTTTGGGCAGTGTGAGCATTAAATAAGAGCCTTGTGCTAGAAAACATTCCCACCTGGAAAGGTTCAAAGAAAAGCCTCCTTGTACAAGTGAAATTCCTGCTTGGTGCATAGGCTGCTTATTTAACAGAGCTTGGCAACTGAAGCAAATCACTGTGAAAGAGCAAGCAGAGACTTCCCATTGCTCTCCACCTGCCCTCCTCACAGCCAGATCCACTAACTCGTGCCTGCTGTTTTACCAGCCTAGGAGAGGCAATAAGATGGGGCCTTTCCTGCATGCAGGGGTGATCCTATGACTTTCCGAAACGTGAAGTATCAACCCTGAGGAAAAACCAATGAAAACGTTAATGCAACAGACAACATCTGACATTCAAACCGTATGTGATACATTACAATTTCCAACTAAGACTGATCTGAGTACACGCTTCAACAAAATGTTATCATTATTTCTGAAGACCAAGTAGAAAAATAGTTTGTTCCACTGCCCTTTCATTTCTACAGCTGCTGACAGCAATCGTTTGTTCTTACCAGTCTTGTGTGAGAGTCATAAAGAAGAATTGAAGGAGGAAGGTATGGATTGTCTCACTGAATTCACAAATCAAAACTTAACCAAAAACCATTCGCTCTTTCCTGTTTCTCTTACTCCTCCCAGTACAAGCTGTACATATCACACATTGGAGGGATTCTGTTTACATGATTGCATTTGTAACCATACATTACACCTACACATAAAAGCAATGCTTGGGACTACCCAGCACTGTATTTTAAGCCTTCTGTGATGACTTTCTTCTTAAGTCTCTGCATTTCACCATGTGGAAAATGGGATACATGCCCTCTTCCTGCACATTGCTTTGAGCTGTATGGATGAAAAATGTTGTGTATGTACTCCTGACTATGGGCAGTTTATTTGTTCCCCTAATAACCAGTTCCCTCAATGAAGAGATTTTTATTAAGATCAACAGGAGAGCAGGGGGGGTAGAGGGGAAGGCATTTAAATTGGCGTAGAATTTTTAAAAGTGAAATTAGTCCATGCCCCTGTAATATAACATCTAGGAAAAGAAACATTATTTCAACAGGTGCATTTTATATATCACATGCACGTGCGCTTTCACTGCTTGAAGCCCCTCTAGTGAAATTCACCTGGGCAGCAAATGAGCCTGTAAAGTTACATTATTAATTTTCAGGCTAGCATTCCCTTTTAGATAATCAACGTCATGCCTTAGTAATTTGCTCAACAAAGCCGATTCAGCAAAATTGCCCTTTTTACAGCATATGTACCCCATATGTGAAGGCTGGATCTATCTTTTCATTCCAGAAGAGTAAGTAAGAACATGTTGTCAGGATGATGTAAATGCAAGGCTTACACTAATCAGCCATGATGCACCGTCTAAGGATTTGACTAGAAGCTGAGCACTCTTTTTGTGTTTATATGCCATATTTCTGCACATTAGAGCTCGTGAAATAAAGCAACATGGTGCCTATGATCAGACATGATGCAAGTTGGACTGCACGTGCAGGTTTCATGTACTACCATTAAAGGAGAAGCTGTACTGTTCTCCCACTGCCTAGCCTCATCTGGGCTAATGTAAAATGGAGAAAGCACAAGGAACATATAGGACAGATAATGGATTCTGTGGGACAGGCACTCAGAGCACTTCTAGCAGCATGTACTCAACGTATATGAGGGCAATCAGTCAAAACAAGACCCACAAAATGGAAGGTGGCTAAAAGAGGTAGAAGTATTTAATGCATCTTAAGAAACATATAGCTATATATGAAACATATTGTACTTGCTGTTAACCCATGGACTAAGCAAACCGTGGTGTCTATGTGTCACAAGCCTGTAGGTTAATCTTTAGACCCTCAGACCTCCTGGCTTAACTTCAGTCATTTAAATGTAGATGTGCAGACAAAGTCAACCCTCCGGATGTCCTTCACTGCAAGTGGATGTAGATAAATACAATCACTGAGATGCATCAAGCTTATTTCAAGCACTTGCTTTATGACAGGATGAATTATTCTCTAAAGGAGCCTTGCAGTCTCCACTGAGTGTAGCAGGTAATGTAGAGTCGATAACTTTTAGATGGATTAAATCAGTCAGGATGAAACACACACCGAGTTGTATCCACTGGGAAAAGGCTTGATACCAACATGACTTCACCCGAGTACAAATTTCCAGTCATGCAGAACCACGGGCAGATGGGGCTGCAGTATAGACAAACTTCAGTGGTGCTTCTCAAGTGGAGAGTGAGAACCAAATTCAGCCACCTGAATGATGAACATCATGAAACAGAATATTCAGTTTCATCAAGGACATTATAGTGGAGAATCACCTTAATTATTATTGACCATAGTCAAGGCTTATGAAAAACTATAGAAAAAAAATCAGTGCCTCATTTGCTAATTGCTTTTCACTAAACTGGGTATCTCAGAGGGGAAAGCACCATCTGATCCCAGAAGGAAAAGAGGATGAACTTGGTATAATCTGTTTTGTGTAAATGAAACAATGTGGGAAACAGAACCTCCAGGGAGAGCCTGTGTGAAGAGGTTGCAAATATTGCTTTGCCCAGAAGGGATGATCTCATGGTTTCTGTCAGAAATACTAAAATACAAACATGCATTTTCTGGAATATAGACTTAGAGATGTATGGTCTTTGTACTTACAGACTCGTTTTCCCACGGAACTTCATGAACTGAGTGAATCAGCCCACAGCTTTTCTTTCTTTTGCTGTTATCTTGTAAAAATCTCTGGTTTTCATGTTATTATCCTTCTCCGTATTTTCTGATGTTACATCTGAAATGCATTAAAAAATTATTCAAAATTTGGACAGACAAATGTAACAGAACTATTACTTTTAAACATTTTTGATCTCAAATGTTTAACAGACCACTACAACTTCATATCTACATACCAGACAGTCCCACAAGAGAATTTTTCTCTTAGATCTCCTTAAGAACTTCATAATGAAAAATGCATTATGTCATTTAGATTCACATTTGACTTGCTGCGCAGAAGTATATGTCTGTAGGCATTTTGCAGATTAAACTGATTTGAGATATAAGTGGGTGTGCGCAACTTTGGTTTCTTGTGCATTGAATTAGAATCCAAGAATCTGAAATAACACAACTGGAGAAAAAATAAGGTTGATTTATCAATTTCAAAAACTGATCCCACAAATCTTACTCTAAAATTTCCTTCCCAAGAACTCTCAGTAAAAATTCTCCTTATAGATTTATTTTCCAACAGAGCAACACTGGGATTCAAGACAGAGCTGTGCAACGCAACAGATGTCAACCAGTCCTGGAACTAGAGACCAGGAAGCATTATCCAGAGAAAGGGTCAGCACAGACAGGGGTTTCCAAATCACAGCCCAGACCTCTAGATCTGCAACTGGGCAGGTAGGGTAGGATGAAGAGCAAACTTCTGTCAGAGTAACTGTGGTAAATGGGGTTAGGGTGCAGCACTGGCAATAGATTTGTTGGTGGCAGTTCCAACAGGTGATCCAATAATCACCTATGATTTTATCAGTGGATTCTTCAGAGCCAGGCCAAATCTCTTTCTGCATGACCAAACATAAATTGATATATTATAGATATTGTTTAATCTGTCAGACAGTCCAAGCTTTTTTTTTTTTTTTTTTTTGCTGATTGGTTGCTATGCGACATATCTGCCAAACCAAATGATGAGGATTATACTATCTGTCACCAAGACAAGTTAAAAAATGAGAAAAGAAATTAGCAAATGGCAAAGCTGCAAACTTGTTCTTTCCTATGTAATAACTATTTCCACTTAGCTTATGCTTTTTGAAGACTGTCAAGAGTTCAAGTGCCTTCAGAACAGTCGGACAACAGCATCCTGACACAGGCAATAAAAGCAATATTAATCACTTCAGCTTTCAGTGCCTGTGGCCATAAGCCATTTCCCTCACCTTAGACTGGAAAATCAATGTGAAATTGGAGTGCCACACACATTTTAAAATCAACAATTATTCAAAGCCAGCAAATAGTTTGCATCATGGTGGAAAGAGAGGACCTACAAGCTTTAGAGCAGTTGGCAAAATCAGTTTTATAGCTCACAATGCTAGTCAAGAATGCATCAATTTTATAAATTAGAAGCTTATTTTTTGCATCAGTAGCCACTTTGTGATCTTCTACAAGGTATTTGGTAATATTAATCTATAGTTGTTAGAAGTTCACGGCCTTGATAGATCCATTTTTACTTCTTTGTCCTTGTCTCCACTTCTAATGGCCCAGGCTTGAACAGCCCAAACAATGTTGCATAGCAAAATATGTGCCTCAAAATACATTTCACCTGATGGGGAGAATACACTGGTGTTATTCAAGTCAATGGCGAAGCTCCCATTGTTTTTTCCATACCCTTAATTTTAAAGAAAGTAGAAAAAAAACAAAGGCTGACACAGAAAAAATGCGTCTATCATCTTCCTGACTTGGATATGTATCACTCCCAATGTGATATCTGCATTACAGAAGAAAAAATATGTGCTCTTTGCTTCCAAACACAAAGAAGTTATATCAAGTAGTTATTGATGTTGTTTTCTTCCAACAATCTAGTTGTTAACTGATGGAACATACTTTACTCATTAGGCACAACTGTAATACCCTTTCACTCTTAATTCAGAACTGAATCTGAGAATAAAAGTGGTTCAGAGTATGCGGGAGAATTTGGAAGACATAAGTGCTGCACTCTCTGGCTTAAAGCACAAAAAAAAGGGAACAGTCATGAATTATCTCTCACAAACTGTGATAACCATGGGTCAAAGTGGCATAGGGATCCCTAAATACAGAAGGATTTCCAATTTTGAAACCATTTTCACATTACAGACTGAAGCAAATGTATCTTATCTCCTCTATGCTAACAATCTGAAATTCCTAAATAATCATTCCTTCTTTTTGCAGCACGAGTCCAATCATGAGGATGTCAAATCAAGAATACAGAATTTGACTGTCACTGTCAGGTTCCTGGAGGAGTCCAAAGAAGAACCGAAGGAGGAGTCCAAAGAAGAACTGAAGAAAGCTCTGAAGTCAACTCTTGGATAGTGATGAGAAGTTGGATACTTCAAAGCTCACACAGCTGTAGAAAGGATGTTTACAAATTAAGGATGACTAAGGTCAAGGACACCTACTAGTCAAAAATGTGTAGTTTTTGTTATTAGCCAAATATAAGAAATCTAATGGAGCCTCCCTGCTGTTATTTTAAAGTCACACGATGTTCTTTATTCTGATCATTTGTTCAAAATTAACTTAGTTCTGTTCACTTCCTGCTGTCCCAAGACAGATCATAAAAAAATTGCTAATAGTTACTTAAATGACATCCATTCCTCTAAGGGTGATAAAAATTTTGTTTACCCTCTGCAACTGCCAAGGTGTTTTAGTTGGATTTGGATAAATGTTTGTTTGCAACACTGGCAATCCCACTGGGGAAATCCAGCCTGGAAATTTGCTAATTGCATTTTTTCCTCCAAGTCACAGACCACTCCTACTGCTTTTATGTGGTTTTCCACTCAGCATTGTCACTTCAGCAACGCAGCACTCAAAGACTTTTACCTATGTAAATAATAAACTATAGCCTAGATACTAGAGTACTACTCTTAGTTTTGCATTGATAATTATGACTATAAATTAAAAGCCACAATTCTTTAGTTTCTAAGCATAAAAAGATAGAAAGAGATGAACTAGTTACAATGGGATAAGAAGGGTATGAACTTGCAATTCTCACTGTTGTAATCAGCTAAGTGCATGCTTCACCTCCTGAGTAACTTTTGCAATTTATTTCCTTCAAGTCCTGTATATATGAATGTACTACTGCATATCGCATAGCCAAACAGTAGATAGTTCTTTTTCATCTTTAAAAGATCAAGGTGACCTCACCTCAGTGAGTTTTTCCAGTGGGTTTGACTTGATGTAGAGTCCTCTTGAACCAAATTTCTATTTATGTTGCCATTTAGAGTCATTATCTTCAATCCACCACCAAGATGGAGATCCTTAAGTCTTGTTTTTAACACGCTACCTAATCCTCACATAATTCTTGCCCTCTTCACAGGAACCTGTACAATTTTTCATCACCAATCCTTAAGTACAGGCTTTCAAAATGGAAACAGCAGCACATAACACTTCTGCCCACTGAAACTCTGGCCACTTTTAAGTGTTTTGAGTTGAATGTGAAAAGTGGAGACACCTAAAATTACTAGACACATTTGAAACCACTGGCCTTATTCTCTTTCAACATTAGCCCATTCTCATAAAACATTCTCTAGTGTGCAATACTAGTGCCTCACCTAAAGTCATTAGTTACACCAGTTTCAACAACAGAAGAATCGGGTCTTCAAGGTCTGGCCTTAAACTCTTCATGTTAAAAAATAGTAATGAGTTAAAAGGTTGACACACATTGGAGTTTAAAAAAGGAGTAAGAGGAACCCCCATCCCCTGCCCTTCTTGCTTCAGTTTACTTTAACTAGTGACCACAGTGCAAATAAATGAAATGAGACAAAAACAAATACTCTTTCCCCCATCGCTAAAACAACTGTTGTGTTCTCAGGGTTTGCAAGGAAAAGCAATATATGTTACCAGTCCAGTTAACACAGCTGTAGAGGCACAGACAGGTTTTTGGACATTTGAGCTGTTTGTTCTTTATGAAAGCTGAAAAGGCTGTGCTAATTCCCTCCTGCCCTCAGCATTTGTGAGGTGATGTGAATTGCCTGTGTCAATACCTCACAACTATCACGATATTTTCTCTACTTACATCCACAATGATTGTCCAGCTGCCAAATGTGGCATCTGAGATGGAAACTTAGGGGGGATCCTGAAGTGCAAGAAAGCATCTGCAGGAGGGGAAGGAGATATGAATCAGCACTTTGGGCCAAGATTTTTGGTTATAAATCAGTGCTTTATCAAAAAGTATGGGTGATTTAATTTTAGCCAGATAAGTGATGAAGTGACCATCCTGGGAGCGGACTGGTACCGTGACAACCAGACTACTGCTTAGTATGTCCAGAACATATTAAAAATCAAGTTGCAAAGTACTCACTGGAAGAGGTGAGGCACCATCCATAAAAAGCCGTGCAGAATATTTTAATCTAACCTGGCTTTGCCTTAGCTGTGGCTCCTGGGAGAGCCTCCCACTTCCTGTGTCTCCAGCATCACCCTAACAGGGTGGATAAAATTTGAACTTGAGATCAATTTGAAGATGTTGTGACTCTTTCTAGCTTTCTAAATCATGAAGTACAATGACCTTTTCGCTGGTGAGCACATCAGTGCATAGACCAGTTGATTGTCAGGTAGTTAAACAGTATCATTTCTCACCAGTTAACAACTGCGTC